GTTCATTTTCTAATGATATCTTCTGTTCTTTAATTGAAATGTGCATTGCTAACAGCGGAGCTATCTCAGCCGATAGGCTGCTGGTTTAATTAAATCTTACAGCCAATGGGAGCACATATGCTACAACCTCTGCTTACTTTGGACTAATTGTTCTTTTTTTTTTCAGGTGCAGAGCCAGAATTTTTTTCTCAGAAAGCAAAGCCACTGGAACTGCATGTATTTCAAAAACATACCGGTACTATTCGCTGCCTGTCTGACAATTGTATAAAGTTTCACAGGTCCTCCTTTTTTACTTTGAGAAGTTCTGTCAACCAAGGCATAAATATGTGTTTCTCTGTACATAAAATTTCACACGATTTGTTAATATTATCATATGATAATAAAAACTTGATAATATTTTTCTGGATTTTTGCACTTTATTTGTATCATTGTCGTATGAGAAGTAATCTTGTCCTTATTAGAGATATTGAAACTAATCCAGGGCCACAAACTAGTTTATCCTTACAGACACAACACTGACATATTTGCAGATCTGATTTGTATACTTCCTTGTCATTTTACCTGTTGTACTGGTTTGGTGCTATCTGGTTTCCTTGCTGAGAATAATGTTGACCTGGATAGAGAGTGCTATAAACTTGAAAATGCCATAGAAATCATGTTTGCCAATTTATGTCCATGCAACTTTAGAATGACAACTAGCGAAGGCAGTGTCATTCATGACTTGTCTCAGATATGTGTCATCCAGTTTTGTTCAAAGTTGGTACAGGGACAGGTAATAATTGTTTACAAGTGAACATCGCATTATATATTGATCAAGTTATTCATTTGGCTTTACAAGTGAACATCGCATTATATATTGATCAAGTTATTCATTTGGCTTTATATTTATTTACCCCACCCACCTCCCTAAAATTTATATTATGCAAGTCGTATAAAATTAAATAATGTGGATCACATTGTTTTCATTTCCATCTGGAAGAACAGATAAATATTTGTTGACAATCTTCTTCTTTGAAAAGATAATCATGAATTTTAAATTAATTTTTAATGTTTCTTATAGTCTCTCAGCACAAAGTACTACTTTTTAAGTCTTCTTTTGTGAATGACCTGTGAATTGCACAGGATGTGCATTTTTGCAATTTCTCATCCGTAACTGCTTTTGTTTTCTAGCTACAATTACATAACTACAGACATGCTACTGACAATCTGGTGGACAATTTTTGACAGGCTTGTTAAAAAATTAAGTATAGACAAAAAATTTAGATGAACGGTTTCTGGAACATTGTCATGAAATACTGTTCACAAAAACACTCCTAGTTGAATATGGAGCTGGAAACCTTGCAAAGAATAAAACCACTTTTTGATTTTGTTCTACAAATTGAGGTATTGCCTTAGACAAACATTGTTGTATCTAAGCTTTCAGATAGTGTATAGGTTATTATAGTAGTATGCTTAGTATTGTTTACTGAATATCTGAATCACAAATCTATTTTAACTTGTTTTTTTCCCCTTTTGCTAATTTAACAGCATTGCAAAACAGAAAGTCATATTGCAACAATAAATAACACCATAGTTTTTATGCAGTTCCATTTTGCCCAACCATGTATGTGTTTATTTCTACAGAGCAAATGGTATCAAATCAGTCTGTGGATGCTGAACATAAGAAGACATTGATACAAAGAGTAAAATCAATGTATGGTAAAGACATTCAGGAATTGAAGCAGAAAGAAAAAGGAAGAAAGCCAAAAGTTGGCCAAGTTGATGTCTTAGAAACACCAGTTGAAGCAAATCCTGTCTTGGTAAATGAACAACCTCGTTCTGATAAAGTGGTTGATGGTGCTGTTGTATGTAAAAAGAACAGTATGAAAGTGGATTACAATGAAGAGTCAGCAATCCATGTCATTTCAGCTAATGACTTGTCTACTGACACCAGCCAACCAGTTCCTGTCTCTCTCACTATGGCAACTGATCATTATGTTAATCACCATAGCGAAGATATCAGCACAACTAGCACACAAGACAATGGTAGTGATTCAACTGTGCTTGTTGTTGGTGATGATGGGAATATCACAAAAATGAAGATGGTCACCCCGGAGGAGCCAGAACCCAAACCCAGAGATGTGGAAAAAGAACTTGCTAAAATAGTCAATGAATTGAACTTAGAAGCTTATAAACAAGGACCAAGGATTGTAAAGATGAAACTGGGTGTGGATACATCTGAACCAGTTGCAATTACTGTCTATGTTGGTGCTGGAGAAAAATTAACAATACCCCCACCAGGATGCTGCGAGTATAATGTAATTGAGCATGGAGTTGCTGAACAATTGATGGAGGATAGCTCCAATCATAATATTAGTGGTAATGAAGAAGAAGTAAAGACAATGGATTTAGAGTCAGAAATGGTTATTAAAATTGAAGACAATGATTTTAGTGAGTCAGAGGAACGGGCAGATTTGGAAACTGATTTAACGGCTTGTCAGGATGGACTAGAAACTACTTGTGATGATCCAGGCTTGAAGGGAATATTTATTGATGATGCTCTGAATTCAAATAATGATGATGATGATGATTATAGTAATGTGTCCACTGACTATATAGATGGTCGTATGTTAACAGAACAAGAAGATAAAATTGTAACCAGAACTGATAATGAGTCTGTTGTCAAGAATACTGGTAATGAACAGACATCTACAGATAAACCATGTATCAAGAGTATGAAGGATTCTGAAGAAGAAAAAAGCAACAATGATGAAACATGTGAAACAAACATTTCTAATAATTGTGATGAGCCTAGTACACCGTTAATCTCTGTACTGGAATTTCTGAAGGATCCAACATCCGTTATTATAGAGGCTGATCATAGCAATATTGATCCAGATCCAGATTCAGACCTGGAAGAAAAGCCATTGGTTATGGATGAACAGTAAAACATACATGTAAGTAAAAGTTACTAGATACCTTGATTGGAAACACACACAAAGGGGACTCTTCAATGAAACTTGGTACATAGCTTTATTTTGAGACGTATACTTTGGCTGAAATCTGTGCATATGTATTGTCTAATTTGTTTAATGCTGACATCGCAAGAACCATTTGAATTTAGTGAAATGTAGTACAAAGGTACTGTAGGATAATCGGTGTATTTTTTTTAGCTCCATTGTCGACTTTCTTGAGCAGAGCTTATCATACGAGTCCATGCGTCCACTGTGGTATTTACTTTTTCAAGTTCTTCTTGAAAACTACAAACCTGATTGCTTTGACACTTGGTGTATTTGTACCTTGGGTAGACCTTACTTAGATTTGTTCATATTATGATTTGATGAATATATTTGTTGAAAACCACAAGTTTGATTGCTTTGATATTATACAAATTGACACTATAGGTGGACCTCTTGCATTTGTTCATTTCATGGTAATATCTTCAATTCTTTAATATTGAAATGTGTATTGCAAACCCCGGGGCAATCTCGGCAGGGGACTGCTTGTTAGTTTAGATAATGATTTGACCTCCATGTATTACCAGGAAGACACGTCCGAGATGGTCACATTCAAGCACATACGTCACACATCTTAAGAGATATATGCGCATCAATTTGTTTCATGATAGGATTAAAATTGACAAACTTTGACCGATAAAGTTAATACTTGTCATACATATTAACATGTATTTGTTTGATGATCAGATTTAAGATGATAGAATGGTGGTCATTTTAATGTTAGAAATGTGTGGAAATCAAGCATTTCTGCCATTCAGGACACTTATTTTGCTCAAACTTTGATTATGTATTGTTTTTGCTCTCAGAAGTATAATAGAAACATTATTTTGTATTATAATTTTATAGATTCCAGAGACCTTTGTGATAAATTCAAACTGATGATGCGTCTCCTGTTAGCGTGCTCAAAGTTGCAGTTCTTATTGACAGTGCCTGGAAGCTCAATGCAAATCAGATTGTGGTTTTGAAGGAATTGAAGAAAGAAGAAATCGTTTGGATAATTACCAAAGTCTATTTCCATACAGTGAATAATTTCAACCTGTCTATTTCAGTCGTTGACCCTTCGAACAACGAAGTGAAAGTTTGTAGAACTCAACAAAATATGATTAATTTTGGTCAAGATCTGTTCAAATAATAATTCATTTTGTCCAAACTTCATGACAGAATTTTATAAAAATGTATGAATTGTTGCATATTTGAGAAATATTCAGCTGATAAAATCTAAACCCTGTGCTAAACTTAAAAATCATGTGCATATGTGTCTTCAAAATGGGTTTCTTTTATGTTTACTATTTCAGGCTCATTCTGAAAACACTGCTTGCATATTTTCTACACCTCTGTTGGAATCATTTTTGTAAACCATTCTTTTTTTTTCTGCTGTCCTGTTGTTTTTTTGGTTTATCCAGGTTTCTCGCTATTTATGATAGCATTGGTGACCTTCTCGATAGTTTTATTGATTGAAAAAAAAAATATCCGGAAATAGTTCTGTTCAGGTTTCCCTCAAAATTAATTGTAAACTATGTAAATAAAATTTATATACTTGTGCAACTAGAGGGGAGGCAGGAGATGTATTGATAGTTTCATTAAAATAAATTGAATTTTCTTGTGTTTTTTTATCCTAGAAGTAGTATTTGTATTATTTGAGAAAAATATGTATTGCGAGAAAGCAGAATTATACAGGGACATTAAAGTTAGGAAAACTGTGTTCATGCAACATGTGCACAAATAATGTTAAAATGATAGAAGTCAAGTAATATAAAAAAAGTAACAATATTACTATATTATCAAAACATGAAAATATTGTGTGTTTTTTCAATGGAAATGACAATTCTATGGTTAAACCTATGAATTTAAATAACTATAACTATACTTTCATGAAAAATATCATGAATGTAATGTAATGTGAAAGTATCGTAATTTGAAAATACTATAGATGGGTGAATTCAGTCATGTACCAGTAATGTACAACAGTCTACTCTTCTATTTTCTAGTAATATTTCATGATGAACAATCTTGCTGTACTTGAATTTAGTGTAATTTTGTCTGTATAAAATGGAAGGGTTGTCACCTGCATACATGCAGTACAGGAATTGAGTTCTAATCATAAATGCTCATTAGTAGATGTTTGTCTGTAAACAATGACACACTGTCTACTGCATGCGCAGATGATGACTCCCCATGCTTCAAGTTTATTTTTCTTATAAAATTAAACAAATATTTCATGGTTCTAAATCATTTTTTTATAGAAAATGACGCTTTCAATAACTGAAAAAATTTGAAATGTATTTGTAGATGTTTGATAAATATAAAGGATTGGGCTCCTGTCTGATGTAGACAGAATACAACCATTGTGAAAATGATTTTTTCCACTCATGTATGTATATTTATAGGGAATATTAATTCACATAATTTACAAATCCTGTATTTATATCTCAATATTTAGCTTATGTTAAAACGAGTCTCGACTAATGACTTTTGCGAAAGACCTTTCCTCAAAGTAACCAGGATGTGTGACCTTTCGGTGTCATGAATACTAGGATGTGTGACCTTTAGAGAGGGTCATACAGAAGTCATTATTTTCATGATTGCTTGTTAGGGTTTCACTGATTCACTACTAATTAATGTATTTCTACAAAGCTTTCAAATGCATAATTGTACAATCATTAATACTATCATCACCACTTTTATTTTAATCTAACTTATGATGTCATAGCATGACCTTCAACCTCAATTGATCTATTTTGTCTCATTGTCAAAATTACCATGTTCTCTCAAGTATGTTTCATTCAACATTATCAAAACTTGCATAATTTTTAGCCAAGGTGTTACACTCACTAACTTCATTGTATTAGTGCCTAGATACGGTGCTAGCAATATCTTGTTACCTATTTTTATTAATTTTGGAAAAATAGCTGATGACAGTGAATAATTACTAACATCGCATCTAGGTATTAGTAAAATGAGGTTCAGATTGTATTAACATAAAATTTTGTTAAAATTTAATCAATTTGGCTGTGAGCAAATTTTAGAGAAGTACAAAATTAATGTGCAGCCTACACAGGAATACATTTTTTGTGTCATAACATGGTACACAGGGTTTATTGTTACGGAAGCCTATTAGGACCAAATTCAAAGTGTAACAAAGAAACATGACATCTCAGAATTTCGACTTGTAGATATTTTGAGATGCCATTTCAAGATATTTATTTTTATGTTATGTTTTGAATTTGGCCCTAATGGGCTGCCATAGTTAAACAATTGTAGAAAGGTGAAAACTAGAGTGAAAAATCTGATTAATCGTAAAACAAGTCGAGAGAAATTTTCAAATTGTATGTATTTCTTTATACCAGAATGTTTGTACAGTATTCGTTCCATTAGTAGCGCATATGCTTATATAAATTACAGAGGATTTTCTATGATAAAAAATAAGTGATATTTTAATGGGTTACAGCCATTGCAATTTCTAATTTATATTCACTTCTATTAGAGATGCATTTCTAATAAAGCAAATGCGATAATTTTTAATATGATCAGGTGAAGTTTATTATTAATTATTTGTGAGATACTCATTCACATGTTTCTGTTTTGATACAACCAATTGTCTGGGAATTTATATTTCCCTTTCCAACTCTTTGAGGCAACCATATTGAATTAATAATTAATTTCAGTTCTGTCAAATCCTTCTATCCAACTGTGGTGAAATGAAGTGAAGTGATAATGGTAATGGTAAATTATTTTGTTTGGTCAGTACACGATTTAAATTCAAAATGTTGTTTATACTCATGATATTGTTTATTCTATGTCATTTGACATGTGCATTTTGATTGACAATGCATTAATTAAGATAAGCGCAGGGAAAAACAAAGTAAACAATTGACCTGTGATTCAGACATTGTTTGTAGCGTGTCTGTGTTTATTTAGTCATAGCAAAAAAACAAAGGCAGAACAAGAAAAAAGAGATGTGATAGTCTACAGCATTGTGGAAGTACTATGCAATTCACAGGTCATTTTATAATTGACTGAAAGAGTTTTCAATAGTTGAAATTGGCCGTCAGGTAATCCTTCAAAACTGGTACTGCATATGCACTACTGTATTCACCTATATCTAAGCTTTCAGATGATATATAGGTTGCAGCATGCTTAGAATCAATAGCATTTGCCCATACAGTTTGCTAACTAAATAATGAAATAGCCACCAGGGACATGGTTATGTGACAGTGGTTATGCAACAGAAGTTCTCAGCTATTGTAATGAATTCAAATGATTCAGCAATTATATTTTTTATATTTCATTATTTTAATGGAAATTGGTCGTCATTGCTCTTGTCAAAAAAAGCATTTTGTAATTTCTGCCTGATACTGCCATTTGTTCATACATTAAAGACATTTATACCTTATTCTTTCTCAGTAAATAATTGTGATGTTATCAGAGGTACTGTAAACTGATTTTATTCATATTTTCATGCATTTTACAACAGGTTGGGAGTGATCAACTTTTATGAAATTGTTTGAATGCCCTCAAGTCGGCAAGTCTCCCTAGTTTTTCTCCACAAACCTTCCTTATTACTGTCCACAAATCTCTCCAGTTTCAAGCGACAAATCTCCCTAGTTTCTTTCAACAAATTTCCCTCGTAGTCCAGTCAGTTTATGGTTTGAGACATCAAATAGCAACAGAAATAATTTCTTCACAATACATTTCGGGGAGGTGCCTAGATTGACATACTAAAAGTCTAGGAAAATCTAAGCTTTCGAAATATACCTAATTTGCATAAATTCAAAATTGCCGTTTGGTGCATTTTTACAACATGGAAAATATAACTATTAGAACATATCTTTAATTCTAGATGACGTTTTTTAGATATTCAAGTTGCTGCGATAGGGTTTGGTGTGTGTGTGTGATTGTGAAACATTTGATTGAATAACAACTATTTGCAT